TGTACTCCAGCCTGGGTGACAGAGCAAGACTCCATCTCAAAAATAAATACGTAAATAACGGGGGGAAGGGATACATGCATATGGACATGCTCTTGTTTATATGTGCATGTAAACTAGTATTTACAATTTTAAAATGGCTTTTAAAAAATGCTCTCCTTTTAAAAAGGCTGTTGAGATGACGATGATGATTGATGATGATGGTGGTGATTACTATTCTTATTTTATAGATGGGGCCTCCCTATGCTGCCCAAGCTGTTCTTGAACTCCTGAGCTCAAGCAATCCTCCCACCTCAGCCTCCTGAGTAGCTGGGGCTACAAGTATGTGCCACTGTACTTGGCTCACTGTTAAGCTTTTTAAATAAAAACATATTTTCCAGCTGATAATCTTGCTGGCTACTTGCTCAACGCCAACTGCATATATATTCATGAATCACTCGCAGCACACTGGTGGAAGCAGAGATACCTTGGGAAACCTATTCCACCCCTAGCCCACCCCCTCTCTAGTTGGACCATACTTTTGTTAGGTGTATACTGTTGAGAAACTTACTTGAAAAATTCCAGCTCTGGACTTTCATAAAATATGTGTTGAGAACCTTCCAATAGGCAGTGCCAGAGTTGCTAAAGCAACGGACTTGAAAGTACAATCTAGTTAGAAGGCAGGGAGTTAGAGAACGGAGGGAAGGCACCTGCCTTGAAACTGGGCTTGCAGAGCACATACAACTGAATATCACAGATCAATGAAAACCAAGATTTCTCAAGACACGTTTATCAATTCAACACATATTTCAGAGCAGCTGCTAGGTAGCACTCATCTAAATGCTCAAGATTCAGTGACAGGAAGCCCTGCCCTTGTGGAGTCAACATTCACATTTTACATGAGAGTGGGAAAATGGCAATAGTTCATATCCAAGAATAGAACTATTTTGTGTGGAATGACAGAAATGATGGGGTACTCCAACCCTGAGCATTCCTTGGCATGGCCACTGGTGCTTGTTATGCCCCAGCCACTGTGCAAAGGCTGGAAATGCAAAGGTCAGCAGAAATGGGCTTAGGCCTTGGCCTCAGGAAGTTTATAGAACAGAGAGGAAGGGAGTTGCTCAGAAGTAAATGGTCAACCACTTACAATGGTGATCAGGGCTCCGAAGGAAAGGAACCGAAGAGCCCTCTGCCAAAGGAGACTGAGCAGGGCTGGGCAGAAACAGGGCTGGAGTGCCCGAGGAAGTGATGACTGAGATGAGGCCTGAGGGATGCAGGAATAAAGGGTGACATAAGATAGAGGGTGAAGAAAAGCATGCAAGACACAGGGAACAGCAAGGGCTGCTCCTCAGATGCAAACAGAGCCAGGGAAGAACGTGTGTGACAAGCCTGGGGAAGGGACCGGGCTCCACACGCAAGTGGCGGTGTTTATTAAAAATAAATCCTTAGATCACGAAGCCATGTACTAAGTCAGAATGTGCTCCCTAATCAATTTAATATGAATCTGTACATGGAAAACAATGTTTTTGTTTGTGGTTGGAGATGATAATAAAGGGGATATGGTTTGGTTTGAGATTAGAATAAAGAGGATTTCAGCACAACAGTTTTTGAGCACCACTTACATGCCAACACTAAGTGTAAAAAGACAAAAGACCCAGTACCTGTTCCTTACAGCTTAGTCATACACGCAGAACTATATGCAAATCCATCTAGAATACCCAGAAAGTGACAAGGGAGAAAGGTACGTGCATGGGACAACCTTCACCTGAACATTTGCATCTAGACTAGCCCAGGAGAAACGGTAGCTACTATTGTTAGCCCACTGCCTTAGAGAAAAAGGCACTCAAAGTATCAGCTGAATTACCCCATAGGGTACCACTATGAAGATCAGAGTTTTATTTGAAGATCTGTTCTGAACTGCCAGAGAAAATCCCGTTTCTCCCTCCTAGGAAAGAATTCAGCAACAGTAGTTTCTTATCTAGCCACAGTACCAGGATAAATTCATTTTAAATGCATGCATGAGAATAGAAACATGCACAGCTAGCACCAAGAGAACAGATGTAACCCATGAGAAATGATTAAAAGTTTAGAATATGCCTCATAGGGGGAAAAAATTCAATAGCTACCAAAATGAGTCTTTCTACACAGCTAGAACAGAGTCCAAGGGAAACCCTCTGACCCAAGATAAGGAATCCCACAGGCAGAGTGACTAATACTAACAGATGGATTTGGTCTCTTCAAAGCCATTTAGAAATGAAAAGCACTGCATCCAAATGTTTATCATCACTGTTAATAATTGCTATTTTTGCCTCTATCTTCATTATCTAAACTTGACAGAGTAACTCAGATCACACAATTCATACAAGTACAGCAAGATAGAGACAGAAGACCTGAATGGAAATCTCAGAGCATGCTTCCACTTCACAAAGGCATAGTCTCTGTCAAATAAACAAGATTTAAAGTACAGGAAGCAACAATACCACAAATAAAATTGCTCCCTGGCAAGGGAGAACACCTTACTATGAATCTGTTTTATAGAGTCTCAGAATTTTCTATCTAGAAGGAAACCTACAAGCCCCTATAGACCAACCTTCAACATAATTGCTATCCTCGTCATTGGATTAAAAAAAGGAAAGGAAGGGAAAAAGGACAGAAAGGGGAAGAAAGGGAGAGAAGAAGAGAAGAAAAAAGGGAAGGGGAAGAAGGAAGAAAAATTCAAGTGAATGAAACAGTACAGGGATGAAATCATAATCCTGCAGCTCATTGCTTACTTAATTCTCTGTCTCCTCCCAGGTTGACTCCAAACGATTGATACTCACTAGTTAGGAGGTCTGATCAGGTATAGATAAGCTGTGCCATACAAAAGGCCCCGGGGGGCTTATCCTGCCTTTAAAAATAACTCCAGAGTACTACATCAAAGCCTTTGCAGAAAATCCATATGCACTCCCAGGGCTCTGACCCATAAAACATTCTTACCAGGGACCTGGATGAGGCCATACACTGTGCAATGACTATGAACCAATGGAAATCTTTTTGAAAACTTGCTGGAAGGTCCACTGTGTAACCTACTTTGTTATGTTTTTTAATCTGGATAAAGGACATTTCAGCCCATAGCACCCAGGGAGGTTATTATGTGAATAAACGAGGTGTTCTCTTTCATGACTAATTTCTGTGCTTCTAGATAAATTTCCCTAATGAGGAGTTCTCTATTGAAGTTTTCCTTCTTCCCTTCCTTAGTCCCTCTTCTCTCCCACAAATTATAAGACATGTTTCATACCCTAGAAGAGCTCACAGTCTAATGAGTGAGAGAAGACATTTATTCCTTCATGGAGGTCTGAAATATCATAGCATTTCCAGTAGTACAAATAGTTTAGAAGGCTCAAGCCCAAGTCAAGAAGAGACACATCTTACTCCGGCGAACGAGGCAGAGAGTTAAATGCCATGAGAGTGGGATGAACAATTGGGATAGGGTTCTTGAAGGAGAAGAAATTTCTTCCAATAGGGAATATAGGGGAAAACTTAATACAAAAGGTGGCCTTTCCCTGGGTCTTTCAGGAGGCATAGGGTTTTGGCAGATAAAGATGGCAAGAGGTGATGATCTATCCTAGATTAGAGGTTTTCTTTTCTTTTCTTCTCTTTTCTTTTTTTTTTTTTTTTTTTTGAGATGGAGTCTCGCTCTGCTGCCCAGGCTGGAGTGCAGTGGCGTGATCTTGGCTCACTGCAACCTCTGTCTCCAGGGTTCAAGTGATTCTCCTGCTTCAGCCTCCCGAGTACCTGGGATTACAGGCGCCTGCCACCACACCCAACTAATTTTTTGTATTTTTAGTAGTTGTATTTTAGTGGTTTCGCCATGTTGGGCAGGCTGGTCTCGAACTCTTGACCTCAGGAGCTCTGCCCACCTCAGCCTCCCAAAGTGCTGGGATTACAGGTGTGCGTCACTGCACCCAGCTGATCACAGGTTTTCAAACTGCAATCCCTGGGCCTGCAGCATCAGCAACACTTAGAAATGTAAAAGCTAGGGTCTTACCATTGACTTGCTGAATCAGAAATGAGTCTGAGCATGCTTTGTTTAGCATCCCAGTGATTCTGATTCATACTTTAGTTGGAGAATCAATAATCTAGATTTAAGATCCCTAGCCTGGGGTCTGTGAACTTGGATAGGAAAAAAATACATCTTTATTTTCCCTAATGTCTAACCGAAATTTAGCATTTCCTTCCATTGCTGATGTAGGCCATAAATTGCCACGATAATTATTAGACCAATGCCATATCTTGTTATTAAATGTATTAATAAAGAACAATGCACACAACATAGTAGATTTTTAAATATTTTTATAACTGTATTTCAATTTAATTGGTTTACTTGTAATTCTGTGTATCATTTTATACATTAAAAATATTGTGAGAAAGTGTTTGTATGCTTTGCAGGCTGCCAATGAGATCTCATCTTTTATCATACCAAAAATGTGAAGCACCCCTAGTCTAGAAAGATTCCAGGCAAAAAAAAAAACTCGGAGCAAAGGCAAGAAAATACATGACCAGGCAAGAAAATACATGGCCGGCCAGGTATTCCATTTTGTGTAAAACTGAGGTAAAGCAAGGAAACAGCGAAAGAGGGAAAAAAAAAAAAAAAAAAAAAAAAAAAAAAGGCTGAACCTGATTGTCAGAACTGGACTTCTTCCATCAGACTCTGGGGAGCTACTTAATCAAGACTTTTTAAAAAGAGGGAGTGGGGCCGGGTGCGGTGGCTCACACCTGCAATCCCAGCACTTTGGGAGGCTGAGGCGGGTGGATCACGAGGTCAGGAGATCAAGACCATCCTGGCTAACACGGTGAAACCCCATCTCTACTACAAATACAAAAAATTACCCAGGTGTAGTTGCAGGCGCCTGTAGTCCCAGCTACTTGGGAGGCTGAGGCAGGAGAATGGTGTGAACCCGGGCGGCAGAGCTTGCAGTGAGCCGAGATCGCGCCACTGCACTCCAGCCTGGGCAACAGAGCGAGACTCTGTCTCAAAAAAAAAAAAAAAAAAAAGAGGGAGCAAGAGGCAGAGCCAAAGAGACACAACCAGCTCAAGGTTTTCAAATAATTCCCTAGCAAAGGTAAGAAGGCAGGCCTGGAATAGAAAGACACAGAAGGTGAAAGACCAAGCAGGAGATGACATTTCTAATCCAGGCTTGACTAATAGCCCAAAGTGAAGAAAGAACTGACTATGAAAATGGAACGAATATGAGAGTGCTGTGAAGATTCAGCAGTGACTAAAACAGAAGAATCAAACATGACTCCAAAGTCTGAAGAGAGGGCGACTGGGACAAGAGTCATACTAAGAAAGAATTAAGGATGCCAAGTGGAGCAAGTCTGGTGAAGGGAAAGTGCTGAGTTGCCTACAGGATATCCGGGTGAAAACATCCAGCAGTAATTTATCTGCCTGGGACAGTACTGACCTTTAAGACTTACTGTATCTCCTGAATAGCCTATTTGGACTTCATCAAGAGCTTTTCCCAAACAGGGATTTTTATCTTGGGGGCCCATGGACTCATGGGGAGTCCCATGAACCTCCCAAATTATTAAAGCAAATTATATTTGTGTTCATGGACATCTGGGGAGAGGTATGTACTTTCATTACAAACTCAAGGAGCACTAAACTCCCTTTTCCCTCACAAAAATATTAATACTCTCCATTCATCCTTCTAAACACTTCAAGCAAGGTAAGCCCTCTTGTCTGAAAATTTGGGAAGGCAGCATGAGTCTCAGAACAAACAGAGAATGCCTCAGGAACAAAGCAGCAGCAGCAGTTACAGTCATGTATGGATGGTTCTGAGTCAGGAGACGCTCACTGCACAGTCACCAGATGAGGAAGGCATTTGGAATGTCTTGGTTAAAATTCACTGGAAATGACAGAAGAGTTTCTGACTCACCTCTTGAGCCAATTCTTGCCTGAATACCTGTCTCTACAAGAGCAGTCATTAATGCCCCAACCTTAAACAGTAAAAATGGTCATTTTTATAAACCTCATACCGCTCAACTTGCCACTGTCCAAAGAAGCCGAGCTGCACGGGTTGTCCCAGGATGGAAACGAAGCCACAGCCAAGGAGCTGTGTCTTGCTTTAGTGTTGCCATCTACTGGCTGGTCTTCATGGACTCTCATTCCCAATCTTTTCACTGCCAAAGGAAAGATTTTGCAATTAGGCTGCTTTTCTGACACAAAGCCTCTCTAGAGAGTTCAGACCCCAAGAGGTTAAAAATAAAATAAAATAAAATAAAAAAATAAATAAATAAAATAAAATAAAATAAAAACAGTAACCTACCAGCTCCAAAAACAAAGTAAGGCAATACCAAATGTCAACAATGTTACTAGGAAGCTTCAGCATTGACTAACAGAGTTTATGGTGAATGCTCCCTAAATGTTTGTTAGCCCCACATAATTAAGACAAAAAAGATGCTTTAAACGTGTTATATATGAAGTGATAATGAATAAGCAGAGGATTGTGCCCACAGAATGGAATAGGGAAATAATAGCATTGAAAATTGTTATTGTTATTGTTTCATTAAAGGTAATTCCCTTTGCTAGGCTGTGTGTAGAAAGTGGTTTTTGTGGTAAGCTTAATAAACATAGTGCCAGGGACTCTGGCTGAATAGCTGAGAGTTAGAATTGAATGGGTTCTCACATACCCCATGAAGACAGGAAGGAGGGACCAGGTTCCCCAAGTGAGGACTTTGTTGCTCTTATTGAACTACAGTGAAAGGGTCTTGTACACCTACTTCTTAAGCCCATGGCACTGACCAGAACAGCAAAGACTGTCTTTATTTCCGAATGCCATAGTAACTCTTTTCACTATTCTTTTGTGTGTGTGTGTGACAGTACTCACTCTGTCACTCAGGCTGGAGTGGCATGATCTTGGCTCATTGTAGCCTCCGTCTCCCAGGCTTGGGTGATCCTCCCACCTCAGCCTCCTGACTAGTTGGAACGTACAAGTGCAGGCCACCACATCCAGCAAAATTTTTTTCCTTGTATTTTTTGTAGAGATGGGGTCTCACCATGTTGTCCAGACTGGTCTCAAACTCCTGTGCTGAAGTGATCTGCCAGCCTCAGCCTTCCAAAGTGCTGGGATTACAGGTATGAGCCATGCCTGGCCTTTCTTCACTCTTCTTGTGTTCACTTCTTCCTTCTCTGATTTTTTGTTTTTATTACTTTTCTTCCTTTCCTCTTTATGAACTGTCTAACCCCACAACTACCTTCCATCTCATCATACTGGCACAAACTAAGAGCTAAAAGGAAAAGAGAGTTGCACTTTACTTCTCCTTCATATGCTTTTCCCTTCTTTTCTGTTTTGCTTTTTAATCCAGCAAAGCACCTTATTTTCGCTCACTTTCACATGAAAAGGTAGAAGGCTGATCGTGTTTGGCCTTTCTGTCCATTATCACCTTCCTATGTAATCAATACATATGGGTGATAAACATAAGTCACAACCACCATCTTATGCATCAGCAAGCCCTCAGCAGCTAATACAATTAAAGACTTTTTTGTTTATTAATGAAAGGAGAGGTTGCTAATCCTTTCCTCCTGTAACTTGAGGAACAGAAAGAGGAAGAAAGAATATAGTGCCCTTAGATGTCAATTGTCCCTTCTCCTTCTGTTTGGAGTCAGGCCCCTCAAAAAAACATTCACTCAAGGAGTTATTGAAAGTTTCAAAGAGGAGAGAGGAGAGGTTTACATTGTAACCTCACAACTGACACCCTGAGAGACCTCCCCCTATGCGTTTTCCCCCTGCTTTGCAGTAGTGTATCTAAGGGTCTATTTAATCCTGCTAGGCCAGGTTGAGCCTCTTGGCTCCTCTCCCTATCACATCCAGCAATCTCTTCCCTCTGAACCCCATTCTCTCTCCAGGGAAGGAAAAATGAAAGCCCTGCAGGTAATAAGGCCAATCCTACTCCAAGTATCTCCTCAAAGTATTTTCTCTGAACATTTAATACTTCCCCTAAGAATTTTCTTACCAGCTGTTAAGTAGTTGACATTTTTTCAATATTGTTACAATTCCCACCTGTAAAGTTTGACAAATCTATAAGATTTTTTTTTAAAGCTAGATATCTCTTCAGGTGCTGGTGGTCCCCCTTCCTTGGAAGTTAATTCCCTGAGGACAGAGACAAAAAATGTATCTTCCTCTCCTCAACATCATTCATCTATCCTTTTAAAAATCAAGCAAGACTATAGGGGCTCAACTTTAATAACATAAAACATTATTGCTCCTGGAAATCTGTGCTGTTTTCAAACTAAAAATAACATTTAATAAATACTAAAAGAAGCACTTTCTCAAGCTTTCCAAGGACAACTATACTTCCTAGACTAGATGTTACATTTCACAAAAACTGGCCTTGTTATTAAAAAACATAGTAGGGAACAATATGCAAATAAGTCATTGTGCCTATATAAATGGTTTACTATGGAACTGAATGATTCCACATCAATTTAGCCGTATATAATTTGGTCAAAAACTTTAACTGGAATGTCCATATGTTGGCCAATGGGAGCGTAAAATGAGGTGGTCACATTTATTTGTTAATATCCATTAGGAAAATGTCAACTCCCCATTCTGCTTAATTGCAGGAATTCCAGGCTCTTGAAAAATTCCTCTCCTTACTATTTCTGGAAATCAGAACCCCAACCCAGTTGTCTGCTGCCTCTGCCACTCATCTGCCTCCTGACCACATTCCCTGTGCACAGGCTGACAGGGGCTCTGCGGCATACCACCTTTGGCAATTCCTGGACTCAACCTTCCTCCTGCTACTGCTGCCCTCCCCTAAAAGAAGGCAGAAACCCCTCTTTTAATTCTTTGATCACATTGCTCAGCCCATCCACAACTTTTAGCAAAGACTTCTTGGAAAGTTCAGGAAAATAGAAGGGGGCATTATGGCATCGATACCTCAAAGCTGTACTATATGTGGTGATTCCCAGAGAAGAGCAGTTCAGATGTACCTCATGTCCCTTAAAATAGTGAACTTCAAACTGGGATTCTACTGAGATATGGAAATATTTTTCAAAAGATATGAGAATAGAGATCATTTTAAGAAAATCAATTTTTAGGAAATCAATTTCAGATTCCTCAACTTCCATATGAACTCCCTCCTAAGAACCTGTGAAAGTACTTTTAGTAAACTAAGCTTTTTCTACCTCCTTTAATAACTGCCTTTCTCTCACCAAAAAATAAACTTACCTCTCACCCATCTGTTTACTATAGTGTATTACCAGACCATTTTCCATGGGTTTTTTTCATGTTCTGCAGGTCCTGAGAGTAAGGCATCAACTGCCCTTAGTTCTGCACTATCTCTAGAGGTTTCAGTGGGAAGATGGCTCTGCCATCACCACGTCAGACTTCTAGCCTGCAAAAGTGAGAGACAATACATTTCTGTTGTTTTAAACCATCCAATTTTTGGTATTTTGTTATGGGAGCTCTAGGAAACCAACACACTTACTGGCTAGAATAGGAATGTCTCCCTCTGCAGCAAAGGGAAGGCATGCTTACAAACCATTATAAAAGATTGGGGGCCGGGCGTGGCGGCTCACGCCTGTAATCCCAGCATGGTGGGAGGCCGAGGTGGGCGGATCATGAGGTCAGGAGATCAAGACCATCCTGGCTAACACGGTGAAACCCCATCTCTACTAAAAATACAAAAAATTAGCCAGGCATGGTGGCAGGCGCTTGTAGTCCTAGCTACTCAGGAGGCTGAGGCAGGAGAATGGTGGGAACCCGGGAGGCGGACCTTGCAGTGAGCCGAGAACACGCCACTGCACTCCAGCCTGGGCGACAGAGCGAGACTCCGTCTCAAAAAAAAAAAAAAAAAAAAATTGGGGTTTCCAAAGATCAGAATTCTCACATGCATGTGAGCAGACATCCATCTGGGCCCATCCACATTGGTCCTGAGATAACCGAAGCTTAGGAAATCAAAAACGCAAAAACGATGTTATCCAGCTACTGCTATTACTAGAATAACTGTCTTGTGTCTTCTGTCCGCATCTGTGAAACTATGTCAGGGCAAGTTGTTAGCTAGCAAATAGGGTAAAATCACAAACCCTTCCCAGTTTTTAACATGGGGTATTATCATAGAGTGTAAAAATATCTGTCCAACAAACAAAAGAACATTTAGACAATTTCTTTAACCAAATCACTGTAAATATTATACCTACTCATTTCATAGAAAATGTATTTCAAATTAAATATAACATTTTTTTTCTTTTGAGACAGAGTCTCACTCTGTCACCCAGGCTGGAGTGCAGTGGTGTGATCTCAGCTCACTGCAACCTCTGCCTCCCAGGTTCAAGTGATTCTCCTGCCTTAGCCTCTCGAGTAGCTGGGATTACAGGTGTCCGCCACCACGCCTGGCTAATTTTTTGTATTTTTAGTAGAGACCGGTTTCACCATGTTGACCAGGCTAGTCTTGAACTCCTGACCTCAAGTGATCCACCACCTTGGCCTCCCAAAGTGCTGGGATTACAGATGTGAGCCACTGTGCCCAGCCAAATGTAATTTTTTAAGTTTAATATTTATTAAAATGTCATTTGGTCATTAAACTCTTAGAGCCTACAGTAACACAAAGAAAACTTACATCTATAATATACTGAGTAGTATTTGATAAGGTAACCAATAAGACTTTTAAGCAAAAAATAAATTCATTTTAGGATTAAATTTTTTGGAAGAAGTAGAATGGAGTTCAGGGAGCAAAAGAAATCAAACAATATTTCCAACTGTTACAAAGCATGTTAAAGTATTTTTAAAGATGGAAAATGGTAGCTATCAAATCTCTATTGTACCAAGATTTCACTGGATACATTTAAAAGACCAAATAACATTTTTAAATGCCAATATTTACATACATATTAAAATGCTTCTTTTGAGGCTATTTAAACATAATGATTTTAGATATTCTTTTAAAAAATCGATCAGAGGGACGGGTGCGGTGGCTCACGCCTGTAATCCCAGCACTTTGGGAGGCCAAGGCGGGCGGATCATGAGGTCAGGAGATCGAGACCATTCTGGCTAAAACGGTGAAACCCCGTCTCTACCAAAAATACAAAAAATTAGCTGGGCGTGGTGGCGGGCACCTGTAATCTCAGCTACTCGGGAGGCTGAGGCAAGAGAATTGCTTGAACCCGGGAGGCAGAGGTT